AGTGATTATCTGCTGGGTGGTGGTGGCACACGCCTTTAATCCCAGCATTCAGGAGGCAGAGGCAGGCGGATCTCTGTGAGTTCGAGGCCAGCCTGGTCTCCAAAGCGAGTTCCAGGAAAGGTGCAAAGCTACACAGAGAAACCCTGTCTCGAAAAACCAAAAAAAAAAAAACAAAAAACCAGTGATTATCTTTGGGATTGTGAGTGTTTAGAGTGTTTTTCCTCCTTCTTATCTGTAATTTGTGACTTCTTTCTACATTAATTGTATGTTAAGAAGAAAAGAAGAAAGCCGGAACTTTAAATTATAAGTGTAATAAGCAGAAAAAAATTTCCCTCTTTCCTCTTTATTACTATGAAGAAAGAGATGATTCTTTGTCTTTGGCATTACAATCATGGGAGAATTTAAATACCTAGGGGCCACGTTTGTCAGTTGGGGAAAAGCTGTGGATACCTCTGGGTTATGTCAGCCTTTTGTCTTTAATAGAGGTTTACTTGCCAGCCATTCCGTTGGCTGCCTGAGGCATGGTCTTGGTGAATCCTCCTCTCGGTCTTTTGGTTTATAATGAGCCAAAGATGCTGTAAGCAGCTTGCTGTGATCCTAAACACATGCAAGTAGCCTGAACCTGATCTGGCCTTGAACTCATGCCGTGGAACCCATATCCCAGGGGAGGTGGGAGGCAGGAAAGCAGATGGCAGAGTTGCACACAGAGATGCTACTGTTGCGGCTGATGTAGTCCTGCCTCTCAATGGGATGCTTCTACACACAAGATACCCAGATGAGTGACAGGTGGGCTATAAGAGCTTCCAACATGGCAATTATTTTAGGTCGACATAAACCCTCTTGGAAAAGTTCAAAAATGTTTATTGCCTAGGTTTTTTGGACCATCATGCCTGTTGTTAGAACTCACAGTTTTTCAGACTGTGATCTAAGGGGCTTCTTTCCATCCAAGAGACTAGCTACAGAAGAACATCCTCCAAGTGTGTTCAGAAGACTACTGCATGGTAAGCCACTGGCATCCCTATGAAAATGCCCAGTCATGTGCCCTGATTGAGATCTATCTAATCTGTCACAGGGATATGGCCTCTGTTCCCCAAGTATCTCCTGTTACAATGTCTTGGCAACAAGATGAACAGTTTGCTATGACCACATTCATCATTTATGGGGCCTTTCATGATTAAGAGTTAACGTGTGGGGACTGGAGAGATGGCTCAGCAGTTAAGAACACTGATGGCTCTTCCAGAGGTCATGAGTTCAATTCCCAGCACCCACATGGCAGCTAACAACTGTCTGTAACTACAAGATCTGACAGCCTCACACAGACATGCATACAGGCAGAACACCAATGCACATAAAATAAAAATTTAAAAAAAAAAGTTAATGTGCTCGCGCACACACACACGCATGCTGTGAGTTATCTATAAGAAACTTTTGTTTTATTTCTTTTCATCTTTCATGTTATAAAGTACACAGTTACTATTTTGGCAAATCTTAGGAATTACTTTAGAGGATCCAGGGAATATGATGATCTTCAGACTTGTGTCTTTGGAACCCCAGCATGAGAGAGAACCACAGACTTACCTGGAGTTTGGAGAGGAGGTTGAGCATGAGAGAGGTTGGACTTTCTGTCTCTTCCTGTAGCATCAATTTAGACAGCTCAGTTTTATAAATGAATCTTCCCATGTATAAGTTCTTTTACAAAAAAAAAATTCCCAATAAAAAGGGAAATGGGTAAAGGGGGGAGAAAAGGAGAACTTAATACTGCTTATAATCACTTCGAAGGCCAAACCTCTGCACCTGTCACAAATGTTGTCTAGCGAGGTAGAACCTTTGCCCTCACAAGTCACCCGCCAGTCCATTTATAATGAATTCCTCTGCTTCGTGCTAGTCAGTTAATTGGCATAAATCACTAGTCTTCATGCAGATGCTGTGGTTGCTGGTGGAAATGATTGAGATAGTTCAGAAAATGGCCTCCACCTGACAATATTGTATAACCTATAAAAGGGGAGGTTGTGGATTCCATGCTACAGAACCAAATGAATCAGTCATCGCAGCTATGGTGAGGCATTTGCAGAGGTTATTTGGGGGCAAAGGCTGGGAAGGGAGGTGAACGCAGCATTTCCACTCTCTGAATCAGGGATGATTTCTTGGAAACCTGTCATTGACAAATCCAATTATGTAGAGGTAGAATGTCAACTCTGACAGAATGAAACCAATGCATTTTGTGTGAGAGTGTGTGTGTGTGTGTGTGTGCGCGCAAAGTCAAGGAGAAAAAAACACATGTGTTTAATGAAATCCTGCTTTGCTAGCTGGTTCTATAAAAATAAATCTTATATTTATATTAATAAAAATCCAAATCTTATATTTTCATATCATATACACATGCTTGCACATGCATACACACACACACACACACACACACACTCCTGATTATGCTTCATTTTGGTGAAATTATTTAATTAGTGTATTAAAAAAGAAAGCTGTTGACTGCCACTGTATTTTTCAAAAGTGAAGAGAGAGATTGAGGAACCAGAGAGCCTCCTGGCTTTGCCTCTGTCTCACTGATCCTTTCAAAGCACCTCAGACTTGGGTTTCCAATTTGTAAATGGAGATTATTAAATTAGCTTCTCCCGTGGTTGTCAGGGAATCGCTCAAAGGTTCCAGATTCTTTGCAAATAAAAATGGCTTGCTGTGGGAGCTCCAGTTAATTATAAATGAGGAGTAGAGGGCTGGCAGCTAGCAGAGAAGACAGATAAAGCCCTGGTGGTTTTGATTTACTGGGTTTATTTGCTGTCCTTTTTCCTTTTTTTCTCCTTGACTTTGCTTTTTCTGAGTGATGTTGTTGTTGTTGTTGTTGTTGAGTGAACAGCTAGTCCACGTGAAATCAAGTGTGTCTTCTATAATATTTGTGTTTAGGGCCTGCCAGGCCTTCTTTTGGCTTCTCATTCTACCCTCCCTCTGGGGATTCCTTCCAACAAGTTCCAAAGAAGGCATATAATAAACACTTAGAAAGATGAGCAATTCCCTAGCCTGGCCCTCAGGGAAATGAAAATCAAAGCCACAATTAGATACCATGTCACATCCACTAGGGTGGCCACAGTCAACAAGGTAGACCATTAATACATGTGGCAAAAGTTAGAGAATGTGTAACCTGCCTTCATTAGGAACTTCAAATTGTTTAGATATTTTGGAATACAGTTTGACAGTTCCTCAAAATGATAAACATAAAATTACTGTGCAATGTAGTGATTCCATTGCTAAGTATATGCCCAAGAGAAATGATTGCATAGATCTATATTAAATCTTAAACCTCAACATTAAAATTTAAATTATTCAAAAAAATTGAGAGTCCAAATATATATCAGTTGATGAATGCAGAAATGTGATACATCCCTACCCTGGAATATTCCTCAGCAATAAATAAAACCATTCAAGAGACTGATCTATGCCACAGCATGGATGAACTATAACACGTGAAAGAAGCTAGTTTCAAAAGATTATATTTTGCATGGTTCCTTTATATGAAATGTTCAAAACAGGCAAAACCAACCGAGACAGAAAGATTAGGGTTGTCAGGGTATGTGAGCCTGGGCTATGAGAAGTTACTGTTCATGCTCATGGGTTCAGTGGGCATGTCTAAAATTAGTGGTGGTTGTGAAATTCTGACTATATTAAGAGCTAGTGAATTATATGCTTTAGAAGGGTAGGTTCTATGCTATGTGAATTATCTTAACAAAGCTGTTGTCACCAAATCCAGACACATGTGGCGATTAGAATTCCGGGTTCTTTCATTGCCTTCATAATGTGCTACAAAAAGACCAGCGTCCACGTGGACTAGCGTGTTGAAGTTTGCCTCCTCCATTCTATTCTCTTTATTCTGTTGGAGAGAGAGAGAGAGAGAGAGAGAGAGAGAGAGAGAGAGAGAGAGATGCGGGTGTCGTGTGTTGCCTGACTTTGTCATTCTCATTGCTACAGTATTCAGAGAGGGATAAGGTTCAAGAAGAGCTGGAAACCTTGAAGGAGAGGCTCGGTTTGAGGAGTCTGCATCCTTGACTGGCACTCTAGAATAACTGGGACACACAGCTGGAAGGAGGGCCAAAGCCAGGCTTGGTAGCGTACACTTGTAATTCCAGCGCTGGGGAGGTAGGGGAAGGCTGAGACTGGTGGATTCCGGGGGCTTGCTGGCCACTAGTCTAGCCTCTTTGGTGGACTCTAGGCCAACAGGAGACCCGTCTCACAAACAAGCACTCAAAAGCACAAGCCCCCATCTCTTCTCTCTCTCTATGGAAAAAAAAAAAAAAGAATTCACGTGTGAAGTTACGTAAGATAATTACAAACAATGGTACATTTTGAGTTGAAGACTCTGAATCAGGGAGCTTCAATGGCAGTGAAATTATCTTCCTGTGAAGATCTTGGAGCCATGTTGGTTTTAGTGGAAATCTCTTCTTACTCCTAAAGAAAAAAGTCAGCATCCAGGGTTTTTGTAACCTGGTTTGGTTTTATTGTTGTTTTTTCTGTTTTGCATGGTTTAAGAACTTAAAAAAAAAAGGAACATGTCAGTGTTTGTTAAATCTGGTAATACTTCTGGTTAGTGTGTGGATTCTATATATTCAATGCTATAAATGTGGTCATGGTCTGTATCTAGAAGTCTACATTATATATTATATACATGCACATGTATGTGTCTGTGTGCGTATGTCTCTGTGGGTATCTGTGTGTGTGTGTGTGTGTGTGTGTGTGTGGATTTGAAAGTGGATTTGGAAGAAGAGGCTGGGTCTGTGCGTCAACATCATCAGCATGCTTACCCAGTAGTCCCTGATCCCCTAAGTGGTTTTCATGTGACTTGTGTATTGTGTCCTTTATAAACCAGGGTTCTCTAGGTTGTAGCTGGTGAATGTGTTTATGGGTTGGAATCCAAAGGCTGGTGACTAGCAGCCTCTTAAAAAAAAAAAAAACACGGCTTTTTTTTCTTCCTTGTGACCTGCTGTGTTTGCTGCCCACAGGAAGATCTGCCTGCACTGCAAGTGTCCTCAGGAGGAGCACATGGTAACGGTGATGCCGCTGGAGATGGAGAAGACCATCAGCAAACTCATGTTTGACTTCCAGAGGAACTCGACCTCAGACGATGACTCGGGCTGTGCTCTGGAAGAGTACGCCTGGGTTCCCCCGGGGCTGAAGCCTGAGCAGGTAGCCATCTTGCTGGGAGCCTTCCCATGCCTTTGGCTTTAAATGTTTGTCTTTCCAGTGCATCCACACCCCAGCTTAGAAGGGAAGGGTTGCTCTGCTGATTCAGGGTTGTTTGGCAGCAAATGAGTTAAAGCTATCCCAGGCCTCAGTGGGAAATAGAGCTGAGCCTAGAATAATCCATCACTAATTCATTCTGGATTGTCGTTGTCAACCGTTTGTAGATTGTCTGGAAACATCTTAGAAATGTTAAATATTAGACTTTATGTTTGGGGGCGTGGGGAGAAGCTTGATAGCGTCAACGTGAGTCGTCACATTCGGATCCTTTATACAGGAAAATGAGGACTTCTCAGCAGTGTATACTGTGTTTAAATACTAAACTTGACCTTACTTTATAAAGACATTGCTCTTCCCTAAGCTATTCCTGGCACTACACACAGGCTATAAACATTACTGGCCTGGTGAGAGTATCTTTTGTCTTTGCTTCTTTTTGTTTTCCATGTTTCCCAGTGATACCCAGCCTTTGTCTTGCGTTCCGTGGTACTTGGTGCGTTTTCTCTTCCAGAAATCCTCAGTCGGCCTGGCAGCACATCTGTAAGCGGGACCCTCTTAGCATCTCCCCAATAATGACTTTCAGAGACAGCTAGAATCTGAAAAGTGCTAACTACTATTGTCTTCCCCTGAACCATTAAATTCTTGAGAGAGCTCTGTGTCTGGAGGAGTATTTAGAAGCTCAAACAGCATGACGTTGTGTGTCAGAAACTTAAAGTGTGATAATGCTTTCAGGAAAAGTACTTTGTAATTAAGACCCAAGAATCCACTAATATCCAGAGAAGTGGTTCTTCTACTGTCTCCCTGATTAGCCATTTTCCATTTCCTTTGTCCATTGCCCTACTTTCATTTCTGTTTCTGTGATAAAGTACTCAGAAGAAAAAAAAAAAAAGCAGCTTTGGCATGTGAAGGTTTATTTTAGCTCACAATTCCTGCTCACATTGCAGAGACGTCTCTGAGGCAGAAGCTCGAGACAGCTAGTCATATCACATCGACAGTCAAGAGCAGAGAGAATGAATATGCACGTGCATGCTCAATTTCGCCACCCTTATGCAATTCAGGACTCTGCCTAGCAAGTGGTGCCTCCCTCGGTGGGCCGGGTGTTTCCATACCCGTAAACCTCCTTGAGGCACGCCCACCGGCCAACCCAATGCAGACATTCCTCATTATGACTCTCTTCCTGGGTGATTCTAAATTGTGTCAACTTGACAATTAATGCTATCCCATCCATATTGATGTACCAAATTGGCATACAAAAACTGTCCTATAGGCATGGTTTGTCCAGCCAGAGAAATATTGTATAAATAAAGGATTTTTTTCATATATAAATTTATATTTTTTGCAATGCTACAGATAAAGCTAAGGGCCTTGTATGCTCTCAGTAAACGTTATACCACTGAGCTGTAATCCCAGCCCACAAGTTTATATTTCCAGCTGAAATATTTGAGGATTTTCATTTTCATTCCTGTAGAAATACAATTGCATGGGGTTGAGCCCTGGCCATTCTCTACAGACAAAATCTGGCCTATGCAGGTCATCTCAGTTTCTGCTATATCCACTTAATGTTCCTACACTATTTCCCTGTATGTTCTTCAACCTTGTGATCTCTCTTCTCGTCACACATAAGAAAGAAAGTGTCTTGGATGAGAAACAACCATAGAAAACATTTCCGTGAAGGCTGGGCTTTCTTGGGATATTGGCAGAACAACCAAAAAGCGCTTTCCCATAGCTTGTGGGCAAGATTCTTTCTTTCATTCTGTCTAAAGGTTGCATTGTTAAGAATTAGTCTGAAAAGGAGGAGAGTATCAGAATTTATCTAGGTGCTTAGGTAGGGTGCTGCTGACGGAATGTCATCGACGTAGCTGTTACTCGGAGCAGTTGAGTTTGTACGCCTGGGTAGATCTGGGAGCTTGTTTCATTCTCCTGCTGACCTCCTTTCCAGTAACTTCCTTGTAGCCCATCTTTGTTGTCATTCACTGAAATGACGTTGCTTGCTGTTGCATTAGGCCCCGAATTTTCCAGTGTTCCCGCTTAAGTAGGTTTTTCTCTAAGACCACTAGCAATCTTCAGTGATGCTCAGATTCCAGGAGAACTTTCTACTTGTGTTGATCCAAGAAAACAGACAGTTGCAGAAGTTAGGATCTTGATTAAACACAGCAATTCTCATTGCGGATGACTGTATTCTAATTGCGAGTGACTATAGGCCACTTGACTCATTCAGCTGTCTTGCGGAAATATAAAATTGAAGTTTTTAAATATATTTTGAAAGAAAATGATGAACACTGTTAAACAAATGGTTGGAATTGTGCCAGTTGAAGGGTGATCCCATCTCTGGCAATTGTTCTTCAGGAGGTTGTCTTTATTCCTGGCACTCATGAAACCTCTGTGATGCACGTAACTAGAAAGGAAGATCGCTCCCCAGAGGCAGAATATCAGGGTATTTGAAGGGTTCTATATTTGCCCAATAAAATATGAGTCTACTATTAAAAGTCTTTGAAGAAGTGATATTGTATGATAGAAATGGGCTTCAGGTTTGCAATTCTGAGATCTTTTGAAGTTTATTATTTACAAAGATATTTATGGGTATAAAGGCTTTTTAAAAGCTGTCTGGTATTCACTTAGATTAGGAAAAATGTGATCCCTAAATGCCTTTCCTTACCAAAAGTTTTGCTGGTTAATATCATGATAGTTGTCTATGATTTGAGAGAAACTATTTTTCTATCAAGAGAAATTACAGTAAATATGAAAAATGCTTTGTGCTAGAGGCAAAATATTAAAGACTAATTAGGGTGGAGAGTAATGTACTTTAATTCTGGTTTGAAATCTTTCCTCTCTGTGGTCATGAGGCTGATGGGATACCTTCAGGTAATGTTCTTTATTACTCTTTCTCTTCAATAATTCCTACAATTTAATAATATGTGTGTGAAATTCACCTCACATTTAGGAAAGTATTTTTGAATCTGGGCATTTAATTTTATAAAAATCCACTAGCTTCAAAATTGAACCTTCTTAAACTAGTGTGAAAGTGGTAAATAGAAGGGCAGTCACATTGTGATTTCAAATGACTCAAAACTTGTTGGTGATAACTATTCAAATCCTCTTCTTCAGCTCACACCATATTAAGGAGTCAAAGTCATTTGGAGAACCCTGGGGTAGCCAACCGGAGAGCTGCAGTCTGCCCTTAGGACTGACTGCAGTCTGGTAGTCAGTTTCAAGGTTCCAGTTTTGGTTCAGACTCAGTTAATAATTGTAGCCATCTTCTATAAATGCTTTGTGACAAGATTATAATTGATAATTATAAGCGAGTTTAAATAAAGCAAATAGCAAGCAAGATTTCTCACTGTTGGCATTTCTAGATGGGTAATTCTCATTTGAGGAAAAGTTCAATGTATTAAAGAATAGCTAGCATCATCCTTCACCTCCACCTACCAGATGCCAGGAGTGTCTCCCAGCTGTGACAACCAACTACATCTTCAACATTCCATTTCTAAAGAATGAAATAGCCATTGGGTGAAAGTGATGTTAAAAGCTAGAGTGTGGAGACTGAGCAGATGGCTCAGTGACAAGGAGCATTTGTTGCTCTTGCAGAGGTCCCAGATTCTGTTCTCAGCATCCATCCACATCCCAGCTCACAACCATTCATAACTCCAGTTCCAGGGTATCTGATCTCCTCTTGTGACCACTGCAGGCACTGGGCACACTCTTGGTACATACACATACATGTAGACAAAATACTCATACATGCAAATAAACATGTCATGTATCTATAAATATACAGACAGACACTTGGAGTGTGTCTCACCAAGAATCTGGTCCAGTTAAGGCAAAAGAGGATGACTCTAGTCAACACATATTCATTGAACACTCATGATGCTTTGGCTCCTACATGCAACTGATGTAATATGGCCAGGTGCTGGGAGAGTACTAGGCCCACTTGGTAGAGGACTAAACCCACTGTGTTTGAGTCTGTCCCTGTATTCTCCACTAAGTCAAAACCAGAACTGGAATCAGGGGAGCCTGCTGTGAGTGGCTCCCCAGTTTGGAAATAGCTTTCTTCCTCTTTTATGAAGGGAAGATTTATAGTCAAAAAAAGAAAGAAAGATGGAGGTGGAGAGGGGGCACAGTGGTGAAGAACTCTTGCTTCTCAATTATGAGGACCAGAGTTTGGGTCCCAGCACCCATGTCTGGTGGCTCACAAGCACCTGCAACTCCAGCTCCAAGGGATCCAAAGTGGTCTCCTGTCCTCCGCAGTCCTCTGAGTATAGTACATGTGTACCTGTACTGAGCATGTGCACACACACATAAATAAACAAGAGAAGACAGATATTGTCTAAAAGAAAACATCTAAAAACAGTCAATGAAAATTAATTCCACCAAAGGGACAAAATTATATCCCAAACTTCTTAGTGTATTCAAGGATCTGTGTATAAAAAGAGGGGCTGCCCTTTTGTGTTGGTTTGGATAAAAATGTGTGATGATATTCTCTACCATCCCTGATAGGACTTTTTCCTTCCTTGTATTGTGAACATTTTTTTGTATCAATTTACTTCAAAGCAAATTCTCTTCTGTAGTAATTAGGTTTCCCATCGTCTAGTCTGAAGTGTCACCCATCACTAGGAGGCTGAAACATTTGGAAGTTATATTGGGTCGGGGGAGCTTTAGAGTTAATTCTCTGAAGGACTGGCAGATTCTGCTGGTATGTGAGTAGGACTTTGAGGTACCAAACAGCCTGAAAATAGCCAGATGACCCAGGACAAAGGAGAATGGCCACCCCTGACATCAGGAGCTCAGGGTTGATTGGACCACCACTTTCTTGTTAGTTTACATCTGAATGGCTTACAACAGCAGTAACCAAGTACATGGGTCTGGTAAACATCCCTGCTCCTCTCCTTAAGAACAACTCCTAAGAGGAGTGTCCCTTGCAAGTTTCTCTAAGGTGTTTGTTCACTGTG